AGGAAAACCGGAGTACCCTGGAAAACTCGGGTAGGTGACTCATACCTTTTTACATCCTAACCGCAAATCGAATCCCGAACACGCGAGTGCGTTACCACTGCGCCATCCGACCACCCAGCAACAGTTGTGTATATGTAGAAGCTATCAGGCAAGTTTGCAAATTTTGCGTTTTATTTACTTCAAGACGCCAATAAAAGAAATGCGTCGTGAAAAATTCAGGTAAAGAAAACAAGGACTCATGCAGAACACGGAGATACATCTATATTACTTACCAGTCAGATATTTAAAATGTGTTAAATGGATTTAATTGTACGATTTTATAACAACACATTCACCGTGAAAACCGATAAGATAAGATCATCGCCAAAATATGCACGTTATTAAGACGCTAGATTTGTCCTTTTGCCCTATACCTATTTCTCTATTGCATGATGTGATTCACTTGTGTTTCTTTTGTACAGTTTTTCTAGGGAAGGTTTTTAATAGCATCGTCCTGTATAAAAGGAATCTGATTGCCTTTTATTATTCTCAAAATGTTGCTTTCACCGACTCGATAACAAGACATTACCTTTCCGTAAGAAAAGCTTATAATATGAGAAACCAATTAAATTTATTTAAGATGATAATAAAATACAATGTATAATGACACGTTAACTGTTTGGTATTGTGCCCACGTGATTCCAGTCTGCGGGAGGTAGACCAATGAAACGGTAATTTTACGACAAAAGGATAAGGTAGTGTTATGTTCAGTCAAGTGTAACGTGTTAACACAACGTGATGGACCATCAAAGCATACTAATTGTAGAGTAGGTGCTAGACCTGACCCGGAATCGCGATCCAACTAAACTCATTGTCAGTGAAATATCACTGTATGCTAACACGTGTTACCTGATACCCTGTCCCTCACTCCTTACTCTATAACATCTATTAGTTTGGTAAACATTAAACTTATTGTAATAAAGGAATATGTTTGTGCTGTCCACGATCGGCGACTATTGACGACTTTATCTCATTTTAAAGGTAGTGTACTTTATTGCTACAAAGCACACGTCGTATGACATTGAAGAAAGCAAACCATGCACAATTAGATATCATTAGAGGCTTGTACCATACAGTCAGCCGACAATAAAAAAAAAAAAAAAAGTCGACTTCCATAGAAGGACAACACGGAAACCACTGATTTACCAGTACAAACAGTGTGCTGTCCGGTAACTGAACATATCCCAATCAAAAAGGAAGACAACATGAGCTCTGGTAGGACAAGAAAATAGCCAGCAAGGTAATACATCTAAAGAGCGACTCATGTCACATTGCACAGCATAACGAGCAAAATTAAATAACAAAAATGTTTATTATAATACTATCCAAAAGATACCTTTACATATTGTATAGGATTACCGAATGTTAATATGCAACCCCCACCCCCAACCCCGCCCACCCACTTAAAAGAAACTTGTTGAAGAAAAGGAATATGTTAATCGGCTCAGTATCCTGTGCACGATACTCTTACCTGCATCATACTGCCCTTCAATGACACTTCGATATTGTACTAGTAGCATTGCAGTCTTTTTCAATAATTTCATATCTTCTTAATGAAACACCATCAGACAACACCAGCGGATACCGACTGTTGGACGAAAGTCGTATAAGGAGTAATCCCAAAAACAGACATACGTTGCATCTCATTTTGAAATAGCTCTTTACCTTCAAAATACATCTGCTCCATTTTTGTTACAACTGATCAGAGAGAGAATTGCTTTATCATAATCGTCTTTCTTCATGACGATTAAGTATAAAACGCTGCTATTTCATTGTTTCTTTCCAAATTAACATATTCCTCTCAGACGAGAGCTAAGATAGGTTAACAATACAGATTTTGCTGAAAGTTTTGTAAATTTTATCTTAAATTTTGCGGATTTTGTTGATAATACGCGTATCCCTTCCAGATAAAGTCTATCGTGTAAGATGTATCAATCTGGGGATGAGTTGTATCAGTATTTTAAACGTCACTAATTGTCCACCGTAGACTGCCGCAGTTACCCTTTGGAATCAGCCATCTCGCATTTGAAATCATACGTACTATTAATAATTTTGGGAATATAACCCCCTACATCCCCCTCCTACCCCCAGAAAAAATATAATAATTCTTGTGCTTCTCATTACTTTCTTCTTGTGAACAAAAATAAATCTCATTTGGTTTGCTACTTTCGCTGCATCACTTGGAAACTACATGTATGGTCTATCAACTCTTCGCCTGTGTTACTGGTGGTATCCATTGCTAACAAGTAGATTTATATCGCTGGGTGAGGTATTTCCACAATGTACAAAGGTGTAATATTAGGGTTGTATCACATTAAAACAGCCGAGTAGACCTCGGCGCTAGTAAAACACTTTAGGTGTAGGAAATTCCCAAGTCATGCAGACAAAAATGAACAATTTTAACCTTTCATCAAAGCATGTGCAGACAACATTTGGTAAACAGAATGACATAGTGTCGTGTGCTATCCTTAGGAAGGGGTTTGAATTAGTAAATGAAGACAGGCGTCACCTACCATCTATTAACGTATGATATATGCATACCACAAGCAAAGAGACGGTAGAGCAAGGAAATTATTTCATCTTTTCATTCAAAATCTGTATCCGGTGTGGAATTGTATCCTTCCATTATACGGCGATCAATCTTGTTTAAGCTGTAGTTAGCTACGAGATGGTGCAAATTATGGGTTTTATGTTTAAACCTCAAAACTGAAGCGGGAAGGAGAAATTCTACTGTGTTAAACCAAGTCATTCGTGCAGTTACCACAAACATGTAATAAAGATTTAAAAGATTCCATGTACAAACAGTGACGTAGGAACAATAACTAGGGTTGAAAATGGGCGAGATAATAAGGTGTTTAAAAATGCGAAACGAAACATTTTAGCGAGATTTTGTAAGGTATCTGCAGAATTAAGGGAGCTTATAGAAATTTGATGATTTCTTTTTCACGCCCTTTGAATAAAATTACAAGAATAGGAGGCGGAACATTACTGATATTATTCTCGTGTATTCGGAAACACCAACATGGTAATATTTTTGTCATATTAAAATGTATGGATTTTTCCTTGGTACAAATGACCTCATAAAGTGGATGCGTAATTCTGCTTAACGGTACTCCTGTTTCGTTGTGATATGATAGGTAGGCAGTTTTTAACGGCCAGTTCAGTACATTAAGAATAAAACGAGATATGATACATATCGACATGACATGATCGATTGTAGGAGTTAATTTTAAGTGATTCTATATGATTTATAATTTTTGAAAATAGAATGAAAATCGCGAGAGGTACGCAAAAGCAAAGTTGATGGAAAAAAAACAAGCCCATTTTACATGATATGTTTTAGATAAAGATAATCTATTTGTAAACCATAAAAATTATGAAAATAAAACCTTAATTAGACGCTTACCTTCCGAAACACGTGGTCTTATTATCCTTGTACTTTTCCTGGAGTCTCCGTGTACATCGTCTTCTTGTTCCTATTTTTTGATGACTACAATAGTTAGTATAATGGTTTAATATCAACTTATATTGATCGAACTTTAAGGTTAAGATATGTATGTGAGGGTATTGTGTGATAAACCCGAACGGTTCACGCTCTCGGTGCCGTGACATCCTTGCTATGATCGGTTTCAGAAACCAATCACAGTTCGCCTTATTTTTGTGCGCTCTTACAAAATCTCCGACGAAACGGATCTTATAAAAAAATACATGTGTGTTACTGAGATAAACGCACATCTAACAAGAGATTCCTAGATCATACATGGTGTTTTTCAATAACACTACAGAAACGATCTTAAAATGTATTTTCCTCGTGGATGCCTCATTCATCAGGTTGAGAAAATGACAAAATCTAGGGCACTTCTGCTGCTGGACAATTTATAATTATTACATACCCGGAGCCCACAAGGAACCGTACTAGGACCATCACACTTAGGACTAACTTTTGCTTTTTTTCTTTCTTGTACAGTTTTGTTTCATCCTCGAAAGAGCTCCTTATGAACACATCTACCGAAAATATTGTCGTTCGTTGGTACAGTTCCATTACACAGGACTATGATACTGAGGACCGAATGACCAGTGTGTATCGCTGATTCTTTAAAGTAGCTGAATTATTTTACCCTACTCGCCAGTACGGCAGTTCAACACAGGTACCAAAAGTAAGATGACAAAAGCCTTGGATAAAAAGAGAAAAAAAATCAATATTTAGTCACGTTGGTAACAGTAAGTATGGTTCTTTTGTCCGACATGTACAGAGACACTTCTCTATTAGACAAAGGACAGGAACACTATATATACTTATAATACATATAAATGAAGCTGAACCCCGAATGAGAACACATTCAAGAGTATAAAGTTTCAAAAACTATTTTGGGATATGAATGCATACGAGCTCGTCAAAGAAATTTCAGCAAAATAAATTAATACAGTAACTCTGTTTATACTGGGCCGATATGACAAAAGTATATGTCAGTTTGATGATAACTGACAACTCTCCAGAGAAAGGCTTAGCTTGGTAGTAATTACAAAGAATCAAGATGGCGGATTTGTCGTCCATATTGAATGTGTTAGGGGTCAGAGGATTTAGTGATAATCAACCCTTGACCAATCGTAATGCATGATATGTCGTAAAAGTTCTGTAGCATATCGGTACAACTTTCTAGAGTGAAACATCTTTAATGTCGTAATATGTATCGAATTGCTTTTCGGGACCATCTAGTGATTAGGCCGTACCCACTTGTAGGGACTTGTCTCTTCATCGTCCGATCAGAGGGAAGTAACTAAATCATTAGAGCTTTTTATAGATGGACAGGCGACGTCGCACATCGTTGGAAGGAGACAGACAGACAGACAGACAGACAGATAGAGACAGAGAGCGAGAGAAAGACAGAAAGAGAGAGAGACAGAGAGACAGGCAGACAGAGACAGACAGACTGAGAGAGAGATAATACAACGACAGCATGTTTCTGATAAAATGATTATTTATTTCATGAAATTGCCAGTAAAAACACACAATAATATATAATATGATATAAATACTTATCATACAAGGCATGTAATGCTTAGTGTTTTTAATGATAACATTATGATTTTAAATAAATGGATTTCACTGGGACACCAGTTCTGTCTGTTAGATCAACTAGCAATGTCAGAGGTCAAAATAACACAAACTCAGTTTGATTTTAATAACTTCATGGATATCCCTGTCTCACAGGTTTGTATACTGTAAACTTTGTTACTTTTAAGTGGTTCAATTTTTGCTATTTCAGAAAATGGAAAAATTGATACCTTGAAAATACAGTATTATTGACGAAGAAAACTTACGTCTGCTTCACGACTTCCAGAGTCTGTTTCATGACTCTAATAGAAAAAAACATTCCTTTTGTAGATTAGAAAGCTTCACCATAATCTAACCAACACGGTCCTTCGGAGTTTAGACAATACTACCCGTACACTGACCATGATCTACTAAGTCTGATGTCAAGGCATCAAACATTGCCACTGGAATCTGTGCTGTAATTCACTACAAGTACCAAGCAGACGAATCTAGAGAAGTTCCAGCTTTCTTATACTGACTCTCTATCAGAAAATATAACCACATACTTTAGGTTCACCATATCTGTTGGCTGAATTGTACTACCACATCATCTTTTAGACTAAAGACCTAGTAAATTGAAAGGATATTTTGATATCACATAAATTTTGAGAACCTAATTTTAGAACATGAACATGGATAAACCACTTGAAAAATAATAAGTTGTAAAATAAAGTTAAATGGCATTTATCTTAAGTAATTGGTATTGAAAGAATGACATGTATGAAAGGTACTAAGAACTTTAGTAAAGGGAGATAACTGTAGACACTCGAACACATGTACATGCTATAAATGTAGCAAATGTGAACGGCAGCATATATCTTTAAGTCAGATTACAAACACTGATGCTTAATTAACACTGATTATTAAAATGATTTTTATAAATGAATCAAATTTCCCACCCCCAAAAACTGATTTTCACATGCGTACAAATATAACAATCTAGAACATGTATATATAATCTATACTGATTTTTTAATATGTACACAAGTAAGTGTACACAACTCAAAAATTAGCTTATCTATCAACATATTGTAGAGATTTTTCACATTTAATTTGTAAGATATCTATTATCATGGTGATCTTTATTTGAAATACCATAAATCACATATCTAAAATTGACTTTTAATTCCTGACTAATAAGCTAGTACAGACCTGGATTCTACAACACTCTAATATCGGTAACATGAATGCCTTCCACAATTAATTCACTACAAATAATCATGAGGTATTTGAATTTGTGATCGACCCTTCCCATATTTTAAGGCAAAAATAAACCCAATGAGAAACCTAACTGATTTACAGTTATTTATTAAGCATGACACCAAAAAAATGTTCAGATCTCAGAGAAAAATAAATTTATCATTAGTAACTTAGGCAATTAGCAAACTAAAGTGAAAACCCATCAAGAGACAATAATCTTTCAGAGATACACAGATTTACCCGGTATCATTCTATGTGAAATCTTTTCTCTTTTGTCAGAATAAACTTAAACTCAAAATTACGTTTTTGTCACGGAATAAGATATAAGACAGCATGAGTTATCTCCCTTCTATCTTTTTCTTGTGCTGAGCTATAAAATTAGAGGTGTAGAGGTGATATCCGGGATTTTGATGTGTTTGATTTCATACTGATGAAAATCTGTCCAGCAAAACTAATTATTTCACAAACTATTACATAATTATTTTCATAGTCATTTATGTATATTATATGAAAACATTGTAGAAAATAATGACATTTGTAACAATTTCTCAGTTGTAGTCTAACAGATGAATTTGTCAATTTGCCTCATGATTTATTAAAGCAAAGGAAAAATAGTGAAAAGTTCAAATCAATGAATGAAAAAAAATACATGGATACAATAGTGTCAAAGACAAAACTCTAAACCTGGTTCCCCCATACAGGGCCAACCATATATGGCATTTAACACTTTATCATAACAATATATAAGTTACCAACTACTTATCTATAACTATCAAACTCTGTTTAATATAATAACAGTCAGAAGTCATCATACAAACATCTTTGATCAAACCAGAATTTCTTAATAAACAGGTCACTGCCAGAATTTTTTTATTTCGTATTTAATAATCTCATACATATGGTCAATTTTAAATATTCCTGTCTATATGTTAACAGGATCAATAATTGCAATAACCCTGTGGAAATAGATACTGAATAATTTACACAATTTCTAATTAATTCATGTTCAGTAGTTTATGAATAATGTACAAATCACTGACTAATTGCTACACCCTCTATATCCCTTTATCAAGGCCAAAATAGGAATAATGACATCATCAACTTTAAAAAAAAATTGCTTCATTTGAACATTGTAAATATAAAATGATTAATATTATAAATGTGAAGGTATTAAGATATATAGAGTTCAAACATCAAACTTTTTGTATGATACTGTAATGTCAGAATGTGCTTAATAATGTGTCACAAGCAAAAAGTTCAGTTTAACACCTGTAACATCATTTGTCTTCAGCTTTTATGTTGAATGGAAGGAGAGATGCTACATCTGTCACATGATCTTATCATGTGATTTATTCATCAACAGTATCTTATATAGGGATAATTTTGTTAAACCTGGTTCATTATATTAACAATAAACAAATTTACAACATATACAACAACTACAATATCACAGTCTAGTAACTTGTTCAGGGAAATTGTCTCTCTGTTGCTAAGCAACATGAATCACCAGGACTACTGTGAGAATGATGGAAGCCATGATCAGGAACGGAAGCCAAGTTTTCACAAAACCGCCAACACTGCAACACCACAAAATAATTAATATGAGTAATTCTTTCATATGAATATCTGGAAATGAGTCTATTCTTAGCAATAAGCGTACCAATATATATATTACCATTCAGTAAAATTATTTATCACATAACCGACCTGTTTTCCCATGTCATACGCCCATGTCATAATAATGGTAATACAAATGTGTAATAAAGGTTTGGGGTCTGCTGATTGGTCAAAACCGTGGGAACGTATTCATACGCCCGCGCGTACTACTTTTATTTACTATGACAACAAACTAGTAAAATATGGCTGACCAGATCAACATTGGCGACACAGATTTTATTGATAAGAAGGGGACTGGTGTGGTGAAGGAGATAATCCCACGGGGCTTTGCTGTATTTTATAATGTTGAATTGTGTGGGATTGACTTTCTCTAAGCATTGGTGAACTTCTGAACAAGTACAACACCAAGTATGACAATATAAAGACCTTTGCTAGCACCAGCTATTTTCATTGAGACCAGTGTTAGTCCAGCTCTATCTGTATTTCACTAAGAGATTCATATTATCAACAGTTAATTTGTGCTGGTAAATTAAAGACCAGCGTAACTGATTTGAGCTACGATCTTAATCTTACCTTGTATATTTGCCACGTATCAACATCATGAAGCACAAATATACCATGTTGTAGTTAGAAGTGCCATTGTAACGCATCAAATTCAATGCCATGGCCACATGTGAATGACAGTTGTCGCAGCAAAGATTGTGCTAAAATAGACAAAAAATTTTTTTTCAATGTCATTTAGTATCAAACTGTGAAGGAAGGGAATTAACTCATGGTTTAGAAATTTTGTCCAACCTTACATGTACTGGTTATACCATCAAATGAACTTCCTGTTTTTTTCAGTCAGACCTTACCATTCTTCCTTTATATTCTTCTGATGCTTCATAAACAGCTTTGTCCCAGTTGTCTTTTCCGTTCCTAACTTTGCTTAGATCTAACTGCCAATATCTGAAACAGTGTTAGGAACGTGTTTAATTTTGTAAACAAATATATTCTATATTGTATTTCTATATTCATATACTGCTGCGAAATCTTGTTGTAATGACATATATATAAATTATAACTGATGTTTTCTCTTCACATTTATACAATTTAAAGCACAAAGATCAAGCCATCATAAATATGTTTTGTATTATATCTTTTTTTAATAAACCATTAAAATGTAAAACATAACAATTTAGATATGAAAGTATTTACAGATAAAACTTTATATGTTTGACTGACCGAACTTACTTTGTTGGGTTTCCAAATCCCATGCAGTCTTCCTGTATCACACAAAAACAATCATATCATTATATTTACTACAAAGTAGTATATATACTTTCATCATATTTTCAAATATTGCCAGATAAGTATAAACAGGAATAAATTCACGGAAACAATGTTTTGCTATAAATTATTTAGAATTTTTTGGGTTTCTGTGATGTAGAATGTTTTGATTGCCAATTACTCATCAGGTTTTTATAAAATTACATAACTTTAATTAATGTGTTTTTCTTAACTAAAAAGAGATAACAAAGACAACTCATAATCATTTGAACAAAAATAGTCAGCTTGAACTAGAAAAGAACGCATATTCTTACTGATACATAGTAGGGGCCGGCAAAGTCACGGATCACTCCAGATGTCATACAGATACCCATGTGACCAATGAAAGGAAACAGCCATCTGCAGAAAAAAAATGAGATGCATAAGATCTTTAACAGGAATTTAAACGAAAAGCCATAACATAATTCAACCTGTAACTATGGATACATCTGTACACATAGCTCATTGACCGTTATATTTCCAATTACAGATGAAGTGTGGGACATCATCAACTTGGTCCCTGTCGCTATTCTGGTGGTCATATTGCTACCATACATCCACATTCAGAATTACAGATGTATGCCATTTTAAAGCCTCTAATGAGTGTACCTAATGAATGTCCTGGGAGGAATGAGTGTCTCGGGAATGTCTTGGGACATTTTTAGTGCCAACCAACTCATTATTCAAGATATCTTTATGATTTTTTTGTATTATTCACATTACAATGTCTAGCAACATACAAAAAATCAATCTGATAGACCGACTGAAAAGTATTGAAATACACTGCTGAAGTTAATATGTACACATGACAATGCAGCACAATAAACTGCCATGGAGGAGTAGGGCTTACAAGCACTAGACATTATTAACGATTAAATATGTACAATATTTGTTAGAGTAGAACTCTAAGCCAGTCTTAAGTTATAAGAATGAAGATATTTCTACGCTCTGTTACGAGGACACACTTCTATATTAAAGTACATATTATATAAGGTCTATGTTTAGGATAAAAATTGAGAATAGTTTGGCTGTTATGTACTCAGGTATAAGTAGGATTTCTAATTATATTTTATCTAATTTATTGAAAAAACACAATACCTATATTTTCTAGGATCTCTGTTAATGATAAAAATGAAAACATAGTTTTGCTGACATGTTTCAAGTACAAGTAGGATTTGTAATATTTTATTAAAATTACTAAAAAAAACAATATTTCTTTTATATATATAGATGACTTTTGTCAAAAATCATTTTTATTTATATACATATATATATATATATATATATATATATTTGCAAAATTATCTCCACGTCTTTCAGATTTGTTCAGTTTTTCTGATTATTTTCACTTTTATTTTATTCTGATATATCTTATCTACTCTGATCTTTGGTATTATTTACATTTGTATAAAACTTATTCTAAAAGCAATTTATGAAAAATTATTTCAAGTTCAAGTTCATTTTACTCAGTATTTAAGGCCTACAGGCCAAGAGTACATAATACAGAGTAATATTCACATATTTTTTTTCTGTTTAATAGTGAAACATACCATCGATCTATGGATCATGTCATTAAAACATGCGTATATATGTGCAATTATTAATATATTTTATATTGTTTTGCATTTCAAAGCAAATTATTCATACACAATAACTATACCATGTATTTACTACCTGAAATACATGTGCAATATTATATTGTATATAATGACAAGTCTTTGATCAATAGGTCATGACTTTAAACATGTATATGTATGTACAATTTTGATAGATTGTATATTGTTTTCTACCACAAAACAATTTTTCATTCATATTCATAGTAATTGAAACATGTGTCTAATACTTGTAATACATGCAATGTTATATCATACACTGGTATATCAGTTGACTTATTTATTTTCTCTGATAAAATGTCTCTTGATCTGCTACAATGGTAGTAATATGCACCAAGCCTATTTAAAAAGTCACTGTTTTGAGAGGACATACATTCTCTATCAGATAAGTGTACATATCAGGAATATAAATATTCATTAAGCTATCGTACATACTGCATATTGTCAACACATGTTCTTTCTTCAATGTAACAACTAACCACATGTAAACAAGCATAACATACATGTTGATCTATGTTAACATTGTTATAACCTCCTTTTTCAACATGTAACTCATGGTTTGATATACGAAATATACACAGTTGTCTTCTGTGTTCAATATTTGTAACAACTGATAGGTTCATACACCAGCTCTGATTTAAAAGTACAGTAAGTAGAGAGCTTGTCTGATGCATTCATAGTGTGACTCCAGTGTTGTTTACAGGTATCAACAAGTCTTTGTTTGAAGATATAGAAAAAAATGTTTCTCATCACAATATCCCTGACTTTCTCATACATCGCCAAAACCATAAGAATACAACAAATGTTTGATTTAGCTTGCCCAAGTTTTCCTACCATGTCTATCCAGGTCTAAGAGCATATCATAACAATACTGATAGTTGTCCATGTTTAACAATCTAAACAAGTACTTCACACATTTGATATGATAATCAATATAGATAGGGAATCTACCACAGTCCCCCAGTACTGCTCCAGATGAAGCACAATTTGATACCATGAGGAGGGTTTTACAAAACCTCAACTGTATTGATTCAATGACATCACTTTCTTCATAACCCCATACTTCTACACCATATGTAACCACAGGCTTTATCATTGTATCAAATATCTTAAATATTTAGGTGTGTGGAAGACCACCAACTTGTTTACGAAACCTGTATATAATACATAGGGCTTTATGAGCTTGGATTGCAAGAGTATACTTTGCTTTTGACCAGGAAAGCTTTGGTGTAAATACAATACCCGAGTATTTCTACTGAGAAACTACTTGTAGTTGGTTGCCATCAAGATACACTTCTCATGATTTTTGAATCTACTACCCCTTCTGAACACAATGACTTTTGTTTTATCAATATTAATTATCATTTTCCACCATTTACAAAACAGAGATCAGGCCTCAAATTTAACAATTTTTGTCACTTGCTGAAAACAGCAAGTGCCTTAAATTTGTACTTGCTAAAATGACTTTTTACTTGCTATTATCACAAAACTCCATGTTCAAATAATGTGTTTTGTTTTGTGATTTATAATGTATTACCTTGCTTAATCCAATACATATCAACATTATAGAAGAACTGCTTTGTCCCAATATTTACATTTTGAAAATCAAAACTCAAAACAGTTTCATTCTGTGAAATGTTAGGAATACACAGGCACTCATAGTTTGCATCTGATGAATCAACTTGCTGAAAAAAGCAAGTCGTCATTTTTCTACTTGCAATTAGCCAGTAAAAAACCTTAAATTCGAGGCCTGCAGATAGACTATCTGCTAATCTTTGCAGATTTCGTGCTGTATCTATACAGTTTGCTAAGTCTTCTGCTAAAAAGGGAGGAAACATTACTAAAGTGTTCATCTATAAAAATACCTTGACACTTATTTTCTTCATATAGATATACCAGATTGGTTACATAAGTACAGAACAATGGTTATGGTGGACGACGAGAAGTCGTGTTTAGGAGACGGCAGTCAGAATCAGAAGATTTTGATATGATTGACCGATGCTAAAAGGCTGTGAAGTAGCATAGAACTGTTAGTAGTGAAAAATGATTTCTTACTACTGAAGAAATTGTCTGGTATCTTCACATTTGAACGAGGAGCCGCAAAGCATGAGATTATCCCCAGCACCCAGCTGCTGGTATAAAAACCAAATATGATATATATTTATATATGTACCGGAATAACAATTTGTCATGTCATTCAGTTATGTACTGCAACTATCACCTGAAGACCTGATACAGTGAAAGTGCTTGTGCAAAAATAAATGTCTTCTCTTGTCAATTATCAATTAAATTTCCTTGCATCTCCTCAACTTCAACATTATACATAGATATCTTATATATAACCCCATAGTAAGAGTTAATATCTTGATGTTGATCCTGTGTGTTTGATTGATGATATTTAACTACAGCTTAGTATTATCTATGAACAAATTTACGCAACACTCTATAAGCGCTGGGGTAGTACAAGAAGTCACAAGAAGCCGAAAAATTTGATTGGTAACAGAAAAAATATCAAAAATGAAATGTTGTCAATAGCAAAAGGCACAACTATGGCACTAACTTAACATATACAGCACGTTTTGTGAAGTTGAGTTAAGCTGTTTTGTAGTTGTAGCCTGGAAAGGAAAGTAAACACCAATTTTGTTTTTTTTTGGATATGTTTCCATGGTAATACAACAAAGATAAAAAAAAAAAAATGTCAATAGCAAAAGTCTCAACTAGGACACTAACGTGATATATACAGCAAGTTTTGAGAATTGAGTTGAACAGTTTGAAGTTATAGCCTAGAAAGCCCTAATCAATATCCCCTACAAACAAGTTTTGCAGGGGATAATTAGAAATTTCCTAATCTGTTTTTAGGGTACTAATTGAAACTAACATTTAAATATCAATCGGATCACGATTAAAAATGTCCAAAAATTCGAGAAAAATGAAATAAAATTAACAACCCCTATCTTACAGTTGGCATGTCAGAAACACACAGGGTAAGAATGCTACAAAAAGAGACACCTAAATGTGACAACCCTGTCTTGTGGTTGGTAAGCAGAACTGATAATCACCTACAGACCCAGTACAAAAGACAGCTGAAACTGGCATTGTTTTGTAAACAGTCACGTTAGTTGAATTAACATTAAAAATAGCCCTTTTCATGGTCACCATCTGTCAAAAAACGTAAGTGTTTTAGCAATGTGAGGAGGCGACCCCATTGCAGCAGAGATCATTTGATTATACTAGTTTTAGAAGACAGCTCCAGGTGTCTAATATTGCCTTATCCTAGCTCTAGCAGTTGAAACATGTTCAGAAGCTGAAAGGAAGAGTTGGGGCCTATCTACATTTGATTTTTAGAAATAATTGTATAGTCTGACAATATCCCTTGCCCGGCATTATTACACCTACTCTTTTATGAAAAGTCATAGGAAGCTCATTAGCATGCGAGAATGGACAATCCTCACATAGGCCACTTTTTACAGGCCACCTCTTAAAGTCCCATCTGTCGCACTATAGTTAGTGCTTAGTTTGATGTAGGTGAAATTATAATTAATATTTTTTTTGTTACGTTTTGAGAACCTTTCAAATCATATCCAAATTGAAAAAGAAGTCCGAGGTACTTACACACTTATACATAAGACGTTACATGTTGAAAAGTAACCGATTACAGACTTCAACATGGTACTTTCTCTACACCAGGGAATGGAAGAGGGATCCTCAACACAAGCTTCTTTCACAGGGTACAGTTCCTGTGAACAGCTTTACTAAAAAGCCCTTTTAAGGTCCGAAAATCACGAAAAGGCTTAATTGATGCTCAATTAGTTACGTATTCCCTTCTCATACAAATAATACAAAACATCCACATTACAGTAATAAAAAGTGCCCATCCTGCGCAATTAGGTACGTATCCCCATCGGTATACCGTTCATTCAAAGTAGAAATATACATGTAAACAAAGTATTTGTATGTCACCTACTTACGTGAGACACGGAATTGGCGTCCAAACAATAGAATATGGATATCTGCATTTATAGTGGTCAACCTTTTGTCCTGTGTACATGGGCAATTGTCCTGCCATTGAGTTAATGGACGTTTTTTCTGATTCGTTCTCGGGTACAATTTTTACCTCGGCCATTTGTCGGGAGAGATTAGTTATTGGCATACCATTACATGTTTAAAATATCTAATTAGAAAGTGAAAAAAATACAAACTATAATATCCAAATATACTACTATTTCATAACAACAGAAGTTGGCTATTGTGATAAACGAATCGTCGGCAATAGGTAGACTGCATTGGCAGATTGATTATAATAAATACTCCCTGGCAAACCGGATGTAACATGGAGTAAGATAACTACCGACTCTACGGACGGATTCAACATCCGGAGCTTAAATTAATGTGATAATAAATTAACAATATTACATAATATGAAAATACAAAGCGATAATAGAATAAAACACTTTCAAAAACAAAGTGCATGAAGTAATATTAAAAAATTAGTTAAGAAAAAATAATCTTCTCTATTAATTTCAGTTTATTTGGAAGACAGAGTTGTATTGTGTGACAACATTTTAAATCACATCGACTTTCAAAACGTTTGCTATGTTCTGAAGTAAGACTTTGAACCGAATGGTAAACATTATCACGTGTAGTCGGGATCACTTGATTGGATTCGAGGTACAGCTATACACTAATTATATGTGCGTATCATCAACTCTTTAACGTGAAATGATTGTATCTTATTGCCGAAATATAAGGTGTGAAATATGTTTCAATTCTACACTTTTCATACTTTAGCTAATGGTTCAATATCGTGTATGGACGTCGCCCGTCTGTACGTCCGTCACGTGTATAACCTTGATCAAACCAAGGCTCGTCTCGTGTCGTCCGCTGAAAGTCCGAAAGGCCGTAATAGCGGACGTAAAACCCGTGAAATAAAAAAAGAAGACTTTTCTCAGTTGCGTCTTGAGTCTTGAGTCATGTCATTAACCAAACCACATCCGCATACTGCTTACAAATGTTATAATATGAATGCTTAATTTTGACCCAAAGAAGCGTGGCTGCTTTAGAAGCACAAGATACATCCGTGTTATGTCTATATAATTATACAAAAACTTTGCCTTTGCCCTTTTGAAAAGAATATGTTTTATAAAATACTTTAGTCCGGATCACCAAAAAAGATGTCAGATTCCGACAAAATAGCCACAAAACATGTCTTGGTAATTAATGTTGGAGACACCGTGTAACTTCAGTTAGGGAATTGTGTGTTTGTTTATATGTATATAGTGGCGACAGGGATAATGAATTTTAGTTTCGAGTGTTAAAACGACAAAATTCATGATTTTATCTCCAGTAAATTCATACAAACAAGCGACCTGGCCATAGTCTCGTGTTAAAACGAGAATCCATGATCTAGTACCCGGTATATACATACACACAAACTTACTGTCCCCTCGATAACATCGGGAAAACTGTTTACTAATACTAAGACAGAACGTTAGAATATATATAATATACTTAGTGCGTGGTTAGAGGTAAACATTTCCTGGAGGAACAGGTAAAAAATGATCATGTAAGCGCCTTGTCCAATACACATCCCAAATCACTAATTAGTATCACAGCATCACTATTATCACCATTTTGCCTTCTGCGGCGGATGATAACTTGATGAAACTTTGCAATGTCGCTACAGTGTTTGGTGATGGCACATTTTATGCTTGTCCATGATTGCTCAGCTAATTATACCCCTGACTTGGACACGTTCCCACTGGTGTTTGCCTTGCTACCGAACACGATGGAATCAACTTACACCAAATTCTTCACGCTTTTGAGAGACACGTTAGTTCAGAGGAATTTAGTGTTTTACCAAGAGACAGTGATGCTGGACTTTGAAATATCTGCAAGGAATGTCATAGGGGCTTCGGAATGATCCAACTTGTGGCTGAAGGGAAACAACGAATAACGGAAAGAAAAGACATGCTTAATTGGATTCTCGTCGAAGATAACTTAAGGACAGATATATGTAACGTTGGATATTGCCATATTTGGATTGATCCTTGCGTTTTTTTTTATATACAAAGTTTTTTGTGTGTTGTGTGTGCATTACGTAATTCACTGACCCTCAATAGTACTTTATTATTACAAACTATTGTGTTATAATCAGGATGAATCAACCTTTAAAATATGTTAAAAATCATCGTCCATATTGATTAAATCATGTACAAGAATTCGTTATGATTCAAATATTTTATATGGAGAAAATATCATGTTTATTTGAAAAAAAAGCATTTATGAGTTGTTTACACTGAAATTCAAACCTTTCTTAAATGAACTATAGCCTTACATGTAATTAATGTCTATTGTTTAACACAAAGAGCCAGTCTAACATAATTTTATGAATTTCTGAAATTCAAACACTGAAAGCAGTAGTTGATATCAATTGTTTGTTTTTAAGAAAGAGAAACTGACAAATTTCGTTAGACAACTAAGGTGCTGTTAATCAGTTGCAACACACATGTATTGTATAAGGTTTTCGTAAAGTCTGAAACAAAGGAGATCCATGATAACAAAATATTCAATTCCATGCTTAGGATTTGAAAGGTGTGTGTAAGGTAAGTTTTATGAATAACTTTCAATGTTACTCATATATATATATGAATGTGGAATAATATTAACTTAGCATTGATAATAACTTTAATGTTAATTATCGTAGCCACTAAACGACAACTGATCTGAGTACATCTTTACCAAATTGGATGATCTGACCACGTGTGGACATTGCACAAGGTCTGTTTGCCGAAATTTGGACTGTTCCAATTAATCGAGTGCTGTCTTGAGTTACCTCCCTTAACCAAACGTTAAGTAAATGTTACATTTATAATACTTGATATGTTTATAATATTGAGTTTGATCAAAAGCAGTATTACTATAATATATTTAAAATATGTATTTAAATTCTTTCTTTACTGTGTTGCAAAACACTTATTAGCAAATATACTGGTATCCTCATTCAGTTGACCGAATCCTCGGTTCTGAAAAAGGCGCCAGTTTTAAGGTACTGATTTACATAAACCTTTAAATCGGCCTGGTATGAGAGATATCGTGATGAGTTAAAACTCAGCTAACAGGAAACATTTTTTTCACGATTTTTTAAATAAGAATTGTGAGCTTGACATTTCAGATACAGTGAATACATTTGATGATAACACTAGTGTTTCCGATAAGCTTGTGTTATTATTCATAATAAGACATGTGATAAAGTAAACACAATTGTTTTGAATACGTGAGATATGGCAATCGTTGACATAAAACATGAATTGTTTAAGATGGACACCCGTACTAAATAAACAAACAGAAACGTATACGCCGCTATTTATACCCGAAAAGTTCCGTATCCGTTATCTTGTCAAAAATTAGACCTGTCACTTTTTTTTAACTGCACTGCTAATGAAAAATGAAAGCACTTGTGTATTGTGTTGTGCACGCAATGAAGCACGTAATCTCTTCAAATATGTATGCATTCCCATATCTCGGTTAGTCGATGTTAAAACAAGCAAAACACTGTATCTTTTAGAATACTGTCATTTTAACAGTGTTTTTCGCGGGAGAAGATTTGCGATCGAAGGTCAAGGTTGGTTGATCTCGAATGTCCATGGGTATGGACGCTGAGCAGCAAGAAGAAGAGTGCTGGTATCAACTCCGGCGTGTGGGCCATACAGCTACATTACCTAAGGTTCGAGATGTTATGAAGTAAGTGTCTTATTACCGAAACGGCGGGGGTAATTGATCAATGTTTACTTTAATATTGTTCACAACATGACCTGTCAAAAGACGATAAACATGGTTCCTTCTCACCGACATTGTTTACAAACACGACTTCGACATGTAATAGAAATATTATGTAATTTTATTGTAAACCTCGATGTGTAAATACATTTTGATAACAAGTTATTCAGTCTTCATGATTATTTATTAATTCTTATTGGTGTTAACATTACAAACAGTTCTGTTGACTGAGCTGCAGAAGTAGGTCAATCATGTTGTTAATGATGGATGATGGCACTGAGACATGGTATTATGCATAAAAAGATGTGTTTCGTTCAACGTTCTCATTTTTATAGGTCTGATATTTAGTAAAAGAACTAGATAAGAAATGTCTTGATTATACAAGTTAGATTTCCATGTGATTTCACCATTTTCTTTATTAAAGATGCATTCCAGGAAGTTGTCAAATAGTTCTACCTCATTAATAGTAATAATGGTTGCTGTGCTATGTCTCACTTCAGTATGTAAACAAAGTGTTTCACTGTTAGATATATGTTTTCAGTATTCCTTTTTATAATGAATACTTATATCTAAGTTATCCACCCCCAAACAATGGGTAATTTAAACAAACAATGCACATAAGCAGGAACAGAATTAATTCAGAATAACAACAAAAACTGAATATATGCCAATGTAGTACACTAGCTCGAGAACATATATATATAAATCTCTAGAAATTAATGTATTCGATACGATTTAAACGGACATTTGGACAAAGGGAGATAATTACAATGGAACTCCACTCTACATTAGATATTTTGTGATACTTGACAACAGAATTTTGATGGTGTTTCTAAACATTTTTTTCCTTTATGCTTGAGCAGGGTATATCATGATCATTCAGTTTGTGTTTCAAGCTGTTGCTATAGCCTTTTTAGCTTGGTTACAAGTTTGAAGGAGAGCTAATGCTGTCACTAGTGTTAGCTTTTGTTTTTAAATTTACATTTATGTGTTTAAATTAAGCATAAATAAAGCAATTTCACAAATGAATTAAATTTATCAGAATGCTTAATCCAGCAAATGTTTTAATTGAAATATTATACCATTTTTTATATAACCAAATATATTGCTCTGTGATGTTTGTAACACATCGTTATATTTTCACATTATTTATTTAAGACATATTCATACTATTCTGTAAGGCTCATATATATACAGAGCTCTCAAGATCACAATATTATTTCCACAGAAGTCTTAGTGTACTGTGTTACAATTAAAGCATTAATTTCCTTTTAATTCAATTATTTGCTAATTACGGAAATAAGGACAGATGCCCATTTCTTCAAAACAGAAGTTTAATTGTGATTAGCTTTGAGAAACTTTGTCATTGATTTTTACGTAACCAAAGTGCTACCATACCACTTTGTTTTAATCTGGAACAATCTTAAAAATGCCTCTAGCCATGTTGTTTATAAAATTTTGGATCATTTCAAGGATGGAACTAAAGTATGGAGACAGAGGTGAAGAAGTGAACACCTCCCTTACTATAGTTTGGAGATTTAACTAGATCATATATGAAATAATAACAACATAACATCTACTTAAGATATAAACTTTCAATGAAACAACTTGTGCTTTCAATTCTATTTCCATTCTAAGTAGGTGATTTGTGTCATTCTTGTATTCTGCACTATCCCTGATAATCTGATGTTATAAATATACATTATAACATTTGATAATAGCTTGGTGAAAAATCCTGCATTGAAGTAGGCTGTTTTTAAAAAATATCATTGTTAAACATTGATAATTCAATTAATTACCATGATAGTAACGGTAATATTAATTAGTCATCTTGAAAATATACAATCGTGCTACTGCTATCTAGAACAAAGCTATCACATTACATTATTAAGTCAACCTATCATTACACCACGAACCAACATCATTGTCAACATGGTCAGTCATCATCATCATCATCATCATCATCATCATCATCATCATCATCATCATCATCATCATCATCATCATCATCATCATCATCATCATCATCATCATCATCATCATCATCATCATCATCATCATCATAAACATGCACTATCATCATCATCATCATCATCATCATCATCATCATCATCATCATCATCATCATCATCATCATCATCATCATCATCATCATCCATTGATCATCATCATCATCATCATCATCATCATCATCATCATCATCATCATCATCAAAAAATTTGGAAAGGACTAGTAGATAAGTGTGGGATAGGAATAAATTATTTTCTAAATATGTAAGAGTACAACTAAGTTATTTCCTTATTAAGCCATAAATCTCTAGGTTGGACACATGTAGATCTATCAGATTCAGACTGAATAATTATATACTCCTAATTTAAAATGTGTTGTTTCCAAGGTGCCACACATGATCAGTTCTAGTGTACAGACACTCATTATGTATACATTATATATGTACACATGCCATGGATGTCTCCTCATGTCTCAGTAATGAATCATCTAAAATCTCATATTGTAAGAAAGGAAATTTTATTTTCATTACATCTGTATTACTGTCATTTTTCAATAATTTTGTAAACGAAAAATACTCAGGTAAATCTTAAATGCTATATTTATGGAATACCTATATCTAATGCAGGGTCCAGTGTTATTGTAAAAACGTTAAAATAATTTAAAATAACTTTGTAATCACTGATCATTTTTAATACACCTGTGATTGCTATTTAGTCATAAACAAACAAGTTTTCCCTTTAATTTCCCTTCTCTAAAACTAGCCAACCATTTTTACCAACTCCACCAAATGTGCAATCCTATTGCACAGTTGTGCAGTAGATATTGTATAGTGCATGTATGTGGACAATGTGTTAACAATTTATGCATGTGACATAAAATTTTTAGTGCATTGTGCGTTAACGCACTTTTACCTGATAAAATATAAAGATTTTGGGTACTGATGTTTGGAATCAGGGTTCCTGTAAGGTGTAATTGACTGTCCCAGCTCTGAGTTTTAATAAAAGTCTTTTATCAGTTAATAAATGCCAAACTATATCTGTTTCATATATTGGCAAACATTTCTTAGGCAAGATGTTCTGTTCTGCAGCAGCATTCTTAACAGTCAAGCATAGAAGTTGAAAGGGCTTCAGTTACAAATGTTGAAAAGGGATCTTATTTATGAAATACCCTCATGCATAAACCCTGTTATTATTTATAAAGGAATCAGAGTATGTTTTTATGAAGAATGAAATTTTCTGTGATCATTGATGATTAATTTCAAGGACAATCTGTGTACATGCTGATCACTTATTTATGTGACAGGTCTTTGTCAGAGTGCATCTGTAGTAGATTGTGACAGGGACCATGCATGGGACCATTACACATGCACACTGCCAAAGACCTGTATCAGAAATTTGTCCTACTTCAAAACTATAATAAAGACCACGATAATGAATTTCTAGAAAGCTGAGCAATGTCTATGACATCAAACATTATATATATATTGTACATATAATTTGGTTCTGGAACAGTTTCTTGTATGGAAATGGCCATCACTGGACCACAAAATGAGAACATTTGTGCTTAAGTAGTAAATTCTGCCGATGGCTTGCACTGTCTTGTAGACACTTCAGCACAAATGTTCATACTCTAGCTGATGAACAAACATTCAGTTATTTACTGAAGTAGTTACTAGTAAGTGCAAGATCATTTGTTCATACACCCTTGAAGATGAACAAGTGTTCATTCATATACACTTGCAGATGTCAGAGCATTCGTTCATATATCTCAGCAGATGTCTGGGCATTGTTCATATATCTCAGCAGATGTCACGGAATTTGTTCATATATCTCAGCAGATGTCTGGGCATTGTTCATATATCTCAGCAGATGTCTGGGCATTGTTCATATATCTCAGCAGATGTCTGGGCATTGTTCATATATCTCAGCAGATGTCTGGGCATTGTTCATATATCTCAGCAGATGTCTGGGCATTGTTCATATATCTCAGCAGATGTCTGGGCATTGTTCATATATCTCAGCAGATGTCTGGGCATTGTTCATATATCTCAGCAGATGTCACGGAATTTGTTCATATATCTCAGCAGATGTCTGGGCATTGTTCATATATCTCAGCAGATGTCTGGGCATTGTTCATATATCTCAGCAGATGTCTGGGCATTGTTCATATATCTCAGCAGATGTCTGGGCATTGTTCATATATCTCAGCAGATGTCACGGAATTTGTTCATATATATATGGGCATTGTTCATATATCTCAGCAGATGTCTGGGCATTGTTCATATATCTCAGCAGATGTCTGGGCATTGTTCATATATCTCAGCAGATGTCTGGGCATTGTTCATATATCTCAGCAGATGTCTGGGCATTGTTCATATATCTCAGCAGATGTCTGGGCATTGTTCATATATCTCAGCAGATGTCACGGAATTTGTTCATATATATGAGTAGATGTCTGGGAAATTCGTTCATATACCAGAGCAGATGTCTGGGCATTGGTTCATATGCCTGAGCAGATGTCTGGGCATTCGTTCATATGCCTGAGCAGCTGTTTGGGCATTCGTTCATATATCTCAGCTGTTGTCTGGGCAGTTGTTGATATATATGAGTAGATGTCTGGGCAATCGTTCATATATCTGAGCAGATGTCTGGGCATTCGTTTATATATCTCAGCAGATGTCTGGGCATTCGTTCATATACCAGAGCAGATGTCTGGGCAATTGTTCATATACCTGAGCAGATGTCTGTCTGGCCAATTGTTCATATATCTGAGCAGATGTCTGTCTGGCCAATTGTTCATATATCTGAGCAGATGTCTGTCTGGCCAATTGTTCATATATCTGAGCAGATGTCTGTCTGGCCAATTGTTCATATATCTGAGCAGATGTCTGGGCAATTGTTCGTATATATGAGCAGATGTCTGGGAATTCATTTATATATCTCAGCAGATGTCTGGGCATTCGTTCATATGCCTGAGCAGATGTCTGGGCATTCGTTCATATATCTGAGCAGATGTCTGGGCATTTGTTTATATGTCGGAGCAGACGTTTGGGCATTCGTTCATATATCTCAGCTGATGTCTGGGCAGTTGTTGATATATATGAGTAGATGTCTGGGCAATCGTTCATATATCTGAGCAGATGTCTGGGCATTCGTTTATATATCTCAGCAGATGTCTGGGCATTCGTTCATATACCAGAGCAGATGTCTGGGCAATTGTTAATATATCTCAGCACATGTCTGTCTGGCCAATTGTTCATATATCTGAGCAGATGTCTGTCTGGCCAATTGTTCATATATCTGAGCAGATGTCTGGGCAATTGTTCGTATATATGAGCAGATGTCTGGGAATTCGTTCATATGTCAGAGCAGATGTTTGAGCATTCGTTCATATATATGAGCAGATGTCTGGGAATTCATTTATATATCTCAGCAGACGTCTGGTCATTCGTTCATATATCTCAGCTGATGTCTGGGCAGTTGTTGATATATCTGAGCAGATGTCTGGGCATTCGTTCATATATCTGAGCAGATGTCTGGGAATTTGTTCATATATCTCAGCAGATGTCTGAGAATTCGTTCAAATATCTCAGTAGATGTCTGGGAATTGTTCATATGCCTGAGCAGATATCTGGGCAATCATTCATATATCTCAGCAGATGTCTGGGAATTCGTTCATATGCCTGAGCAGATATCTGGGCAATCGTTCATATGTCAGAGCAGATGTATGGGCATTCGTTCATATATCTCAGCAGATGTCTGGGAATTCGTTCATATGCGTGAGCAGATATCTGGGCAATCGTTCATATGTCAGAGCAGATGTCTGGGCATTCGTTCATATATCTCAGCTGATGTCTGGGCAGTTGTTGATATATATGAGTAGATGTCTGGGCAATCGTTCATATATCTCAGCAGATGTCTGGGAATTCGTTCATATGCCTGAGCAGATATCTGGGCAATCGTTCATATGTCAGAGCAGATGTCTGGGCATTCGTTCATATATCTCAGCTGATGTCTGGGCAGTTGTTGATATATCTGAGCAGATGTCTGGGCATTCATTCATATATCTGAGCAGATGTCTGGGCATTCGTTCATATATCTCAGCTGATGTCTGGGCAGTTGTTGATATATCTGAGCAGATGTCTGGGCATTCGTTCATATATCTGAGTAGGTATCTGGGAATTCGTTCATATATCTGAGCAGGTGTCTGGGAATTTGTTCATATATCTCAGCAGATTCTGAGAATTCGTTCAAATATCTCAGTAGATGTCTGGGAATTGTTCATATGCCTGAGCAGATATCTGGGCAATCGTTCATATATCTCAGCAGATGTCTGGGAATTCGTTCATATGCCTGAGCAGATATCTGGGCAATCGTTCATATGTCAGAGCAGATGTCTGGGCATTCGTTCATATATCTCAGCTGATGTCTGGGCAGTTGTTGATATATCTGAGCAGATGTCTGGGCATTCATTCATATATCTGAGCAGATGTCTGGGCATTCGTTCATATATCTCAGCTGATGTTTGGGCAGTTGTTGATATATCTGAGCAGATGTCTGGGCATTCATTCATATATCTGAGCAGATGTCTGGGCAGTCGTTCATAAACCAGAACAGATCTCTATTAGTATTACTGTTTTACAAACTATTGAAGTCTTACTAACATTTGTCTATTTCTATTGGACAAACTGAGATTTCATATTCAGGCTCCCTGAAGTTCCTAATTGTTCATGATCAATTTTTAACTTATTGGAAACTAAAGTCCGACAAGAGAGCAAAGAATAAGACAGAAAACAGAAAGATGAGATGGTGGGCACCAAGGTCCTCTTATGATTACTTTTCTAGATCTGTTATCTAATTATAGGATGTGACCTTTCCTGAAACTGCCCGTCTAATGTCTAGACTCTGGGTTTATACTGTAGTAGGCATTGTGTGATGGCTTTAATTGCATGTCTGCATGAACTCCAGCTGATTTTACTTCTAACAGTAATGAAATACAGTGTACTAGACTTGTTTTATAGTCCTATTGTTAGGGTATCTAAAGTTTCCTTGGCTGGTATCTCCAGCATAATCAACCTGAATTATTGGTGATAAATCAGCGTGCCAGATGACCTATATAGAAATGGTTTTACTGGAAACTGTTGATGCATAGTACCAAGTCCAGATGTACCAAGGTAACACCAACATGTTAGTACACAGTGAGACAGTGATGTAACAATATCTGCCACCTTCAACACTGTGGAGATTAATATGTGTTCACTGGAGACATGTAATTCATCAGCACAGAGCTCTTTGGCCAATATAGCATAGAGCCAAACCTGTACAGGATCTTCCATAGGTACTATTGATTTTTTACAGGTTATGGTACAGCGACATAGCTGGTATTTTCTGTTCTGGGTAAACGAGAATTAACTACGTATTTACATTGTGGGGCCAGCCGATCAATAATATTGCTGATGTGCAGATCTAAATCTGTATTCCTGTATTGTAGAGGTGAATTATTTTAACTGGTTTCTTTGGCAGGATTGTATTTAAAACTGATAACAACAAGCAGTATAAATACATGTTATCATCGTTATGTAACTTCCTTAATGCTTAGAATAGGAAGTATTTTTAGGCAGTTAAAAATTATCATGATAAAGCTGTTTCATTAAAATAAACCAGTCACTTATGATTGATTTTACACTTTAAAAAAAGACATTTCTTTTTTGAACGAGTGAGTTTTAACTTCAACCTCAGTATGAAGTCTGACAAAGCTTGGCTACCTTTGATAAAACTTCTGACGTTACTGTTCATGCAAAATTATTTCAATGTGATCTTTAGATCTGGGTCAATCTCAGTTAGGTTAAATAATTTGAATTTCTGTCAAGATATCAGTTTCAGAAGTCAATATCATCACTTAAAGTTTACATGAAACACAATTTCATCTTAAACTAAATTGTGTAAGTGAAAATCCAGTTGAAGGTTTAAGTCATAAAAATACCAATTAATAATGCATGTAAAAATAAGTTATATATACACATGATGTATTCTTGCCATAATTTCAATGTCAAAGGTCAGATGGGAGATACACATACATGCATGTACTGTACTATGCTAATCACTCCTTTAAAATGATGTACTTTCATGGATTCAGTGTTTGATCTTGTCAGGAATTCTATAAACAATGTTGGCTCTGATTGTCTTTATTGAGCAATAATATCAGAGCTATTCTTCATAAATTTGTAAACCTGAAGATCCAGTTTCAAGTTCCATGTAGGTATAATAAAGAAGGATTGTCTCCCTTAGATCACTTGTTCCATTACTAATTTGTTTTGTTCAGTATGTCTTCATTTGAGAGATACATGAACAATAATTACAAAGGTACGATTCATTTGTTATACGTATCAGGATCAACTTAAAAGATAATTTGAATGTGATCTTCGATATAGTCCCACAGCGTATAGCTATTTATTCAACAAAAACACTAACATGGAATGTATATATATGAGAAACCCAAATTTTACTAACACATTTTAGTATTGCTCTATCATTTTCTCTGCAGACTTCATGTTGGTGTGACAAAGTTTGGCCGTGCAGCAAGTAATCACTATTATCTCGACTCGGCCACACTGCCGAACTTCATATCACGCCATCACTCGGAGATCCATGGAATCCGTGATGAGGATGGACTCATCAAGTTTGTCCTACATGACAAGGGTCTTAATGGAACCTTCATTAACGACATCAAGGTAAGGTGCTTTACATATACATCTCAAAGTGCAAAAATTGGAATTGTGCTTTATACACAAAATAGTAATGAATTCCAATTACAGTATTTATCTGACAGTAAGGCCATGTCTGTGATAAACTCACCCATATCTTTCTGTTCAGTAGAATTGCAGACTGGTTTTATCTTATTGTCCTTTGATAAGGTAACCCACTGACTTTGATTCAGTACTGGTATGTTGTGAGCTTTTTACAGGATGAATACAGTTTGTGTCAAAATTGTCTTAAATCATCATATCTTCACATGCACAAATCATGTATGTCTGGGCATTGAGTCTTGCCAATTCCAACTTCATCTGGTTAACTGGTGTAACAATACCCATCCATCAAGCCATTGCTTCAGTGGCTTCAATATAGAATAAATCAACACATATTGACCACAAATTCATATTTATTTAAAATTGGTTTAACTTATAGTCCACACTGCTTTTTCTGTAAAACAGAATCAGAAACAATAGTACATCTGCTATGGGAGTGCAAAGAAGTACAATCATTTTTTCAGAACTTTGAATTTTTGCTTGATTCATTCCTTTTACTTTCAATAAAGAAACTTTCATATTTGGCTTTAGAAATAATAAAAATATATATTACAAAACTGATAATCTTGTATTGCTTGTTATGAAACAATATATCTACAGAACAAGGTGTTTACAACAAACTTTATCAGTACAAGCTTTAAAATCTATCATTATAGATAACTACAACATTCAAAAATATACCTACATGGACAAAGGAATTGAAAATATGGTAAAATTTCACAATAGTTGGAAAAAATGGGATAAACTATTACAGACAACACCCAACTCCTAACAGAAATGTGAACTTGGGTTTTTGTATATTTCTTAAATAGAAATACACTGCAACATCCTGATTTTTGGTTGACATGGCACAACAAATCTCTCAACCCTCCCCCCCCCCCCACCCCTCCTCTCTCTCTCTCCTACTCTCTCTCTCTTCTTGCTCTCTATCTCTGTATGCAAGGATGTGTATGTGTGTGTGTGAGAATGAGGATCTATTATTGTATATAGATGTCAATAGTTATCTCAATATGAAGAGGATACTGCATGATTATGTTTGCTAGTGATGAGATGATGACAATGACGGTATTAACTGTAAATAAGGATGAATGTGAAGCTGGGTGAGTTTATGAATGACAAGGATAGTGTTTTTGTTTCTTGAGGATGAGAGTGATATGGTGTTAATACCAAATAACCGTGGAGATGAAGAAGTAAAGAGCACTATCAATGATGGAGGTGATGAAAATTCCTAAAGATGTTTGTGACATCGAGGATGATGGCCCCTGAAAATGATGATGATTATGATGAGGATGATGGCTCATGATGAAAATGATGTTGAATGATTTGTTGTTGATGATGATGATGATGATGAGGATGAGGATGAGGATGATGATAGTGCATGTTTATGATGATGATGATGGTGATGATGATGATGATGATGATGATGATGATGATGATGATGATGATGATAGTGCATGTTTATGATGATGATGATGGTGATGATGATGATGATGATGATGATGATGATGATGATGATGATGATGATGATGATGATAGTGCATGTTTATGATTAGGATGATGGTGATGATGATGATGATGATGATGATGATGATGATGATGATGATGATGATGATGATGAGGATGATGATGATGAGGAGGAGGAGGAGGAGGAGGAGGATAGTGCATGTTTATGATGAGGATGATGATGATGATGATGATGATGATGATGATGGTAATGATGATGAGGATGATGATGATGATGATAGTGCATGTTTATGATGATGATGATGATGATGATGATGATGAGATGATGAGGATGATGATGATGATTATGATGATGAAAATGATGATGATGATGTGATGATGATGATGATGATGATGATGATGATGATGATGATGATGATGATGATGATGATGATGATGATGATGATGATAGTGCATGTTTATGATGAGGATGATGATGATGATGATGATAATAGTGCATGTTTATGATGATGATGATGATGATGATGATGATGATGATGATGATGATAGTGCATGTTTATGATGAGGATGATGATGATGATGAAGACGAAGACGGTTGAGTGGATGTGTTGTGAGGATCTGTATGTGTGATGATGATGATGATGATGATGATGATGATGATGATGATGAGGATGATGATGATGATGAAGACGAAGACGGTTGCGAGTGAGGATGATGATATGTGTGCGTCCCAGGACATTGTAATATAATTTGTAAAAAATGCTTGAAAAAATAAAAAGATATAAAAAAAAGTCATTGCTTGTTCTTAGAACAACAGTCATTGTTTAATAACTAAAACCCTCCTTGTGGCCTTGTTTTGATAAACTGAAACATTATTTGCTTACACAAGAGCTGTACATTGTTTCCTTAAAAATACATGATCAAATAATTTTAATAAAGAGTTCCAACTTATTGCTTTTCCTGCAGTTTCTTGCTCACATTTGATTGGTTGAAAAATGGTACCTTTACTCTAACCTTCTCTGCTGACCATATTTGTTTCTGATTGGTTATCATCACTTTTCAGACTAGAATTTCCTATGTAAATACAAACAGCATATTAATAGGTCATTAATTTATAACCAAAATATCATCTTAATTGATTTATGTTGTTCATTTCTGTCATTATGAGAATGAAACATGCTTTACCAGTGACCAAAACTGAGTTTATTCCAGGGCTCTCACACCCCATTTAGGGACTGGGGCCCGGGGCCCGGGGCCCTTAGAATTGGGGAAAATAGCGGCGTTTTCCTTAGAATTGGGAAAACTTGGGGGTCTAAATTGGGAAAAAGATACTATTTTGCATTGGAATTTGGCCCCAAATCTGGCAGATCGAGAGCCCTGAATTCTCAGAGACAATTGAATATGGCGGAAGTTTCAGTGAGTCAGTAAGCAGAAATTTTCTGGGTCATTAGCTGAACTATACAAAACTATACAGGTTACTTATATAATGTATATTATCATGAATTTCTTCTGACTTCAGATGCAGAGCTCATGTGAACTTGAGGAAGGGGACAAGATAACATTTGGTCACACAAATGGCTACAAATTGGCACCTGGCCAACATTCAAGGCAGCCTCACTCTGAATTCCAGTTTATAGTAAGGCTACCAGTCTTTTATTTTTTCAAATGAACTAATTTTTGAGTGGATTACTTCAAATTCTAAGCTTCTGATCAACAGTAATCAACTTTTGCTAAAGCTTGCTGTCAAACTCTTCCTGTGAAATTATTTTGATTTCTTTCTTTTTTTACCACAGTTGAAATTTTTCTCACTTTTCATAAAGCTGGTGTATCTGGATTGATCATTTCGACCATTTGCTTATTGGTAATTTTTTACACATCAAAATATATTATTATTTGCCATTAAGTCCATTTTTTCGGGCTTGAAAATTATCTTGATTATATTGTAAAGTTTTTTTTTGTTCGATGGTTCATATTTTGGTTGGTTTACCTAAATATTGAAGAAACAAAAAGGATATTTTTTCACAGATAATAGTATTACCTCTTAATTTCATTTTCAAACTACACATTTTTGTGATTATGTATTCAATTCATGAAAATAGCAAAATATATAGTCCTCTAAAACTTATTTATTATACAACCTTTTAGTAATTGTTTCTTACAACTTTGATTTAAAATGTGAACATTACATAGTGTGCTTTATTTGTGACAGCAATGCAACATATTCTTTTCAAAAAAGTTTTAGAAAAGCTCAAGATTTTCATTGGTTCCAGTTTGAATTTAAAATGAAGACACTTCATCTAAATCAAGGTTAATGTAAGGAGACAGAGTAAATTCTCAAAAATGCTGAATTATCCTGTAAGTGTCATATTTAACATATCCATTGAGTGTTTAAATTAGATCCCTAGATGCTTCAAGTCAAGAGGTAAGGGGAAAAAGGTAGGGGAAAGAGGCAAATCTTTCATTAAAAAGTGAGTGGGGATGTAAATGCTGAAAATAAAAAATAACAAAAAACTTTTATTTTACAGTTTGAAAAAGTTTACAGAAGTAATGAAAACATAGTTAACAATGGAGTCAAGCAAGAAAAGGAAAACAGCACATTAAGCGACACGGAAAAACGGAAACGAATTTGTGCGCGGGACAATGCTGTAGATATCGAAACATTCAAAGAAAGATGGTCTAGAAATAATTCAAATTCAAAAACTGAAAGTGATTCAGACAAAACTTCAGCAACTCGCATTAAAACTATCGAAAATGTATCTCAGGACAATGATTCATGTTCCTCATCGTCATCTTCATCATCTTCATCATCAGCTTCATCTGGTTCATCATCATCATCATCAAGTTCATCTTCATCAGTCAGATCTTCATCAAAATCTCCAAATTCACATACAGCGGACCATGCAGCAGACACTGATACGCCAAGTTTTAATATATCTCAAAACCGTCACGAAAATTCTACAATTATTATGTCTGAGCCGAATAGTGATAAGGATGAGAGCGATGAAAATGACAATGAAAATGATAATGTTTCAGAACAATCTAGCCAATCTTTGCATAAAGTAGACAATGATAGTGATGATAGTGAACAGTCTGATTCGAACTCTGGTGATAATTCGGACGACGATGCATCAAATAATGAAGATGAGGATGATAAGTTCAAAAGTGATAGTGAGAATGACAATGAAAGTGATACTGAAATGAAAGAGGACAATGAAAACCAAAAAGACAGCAGTGAAGAAGAAGACGAGGAAGAAGAACCTAAGGAAATAGAACAACTGCCAAGTCCTGTTCCTGTAAAAAGAAAGAGTAGAGCTCCTAAAAAAGGAGCAAAAACAAAAAGAATGAAACTTGCCATGCCATCACGACGAGGAAGACAGAGTCGGAAGATGTTAAAAAGAAACAGTAAAAGGTATGTAGATGTGAAAGTAATTTACTTATCAGTATATATGTTTGTGTTATTTTTTCTGATTTCCAGACAAATAAATAAATAATATCCTGTTCAAATGTAATTGCCAATGGTTAATTGTCATGTGTGACTTGGTTGAAATGATGATTGCATCTTTATATAAAAATTGATTTATATTTCAAGTACATATAACAATATAATTATCAGAAATACAGAGTGATGTTTATATCATTTGTCTGCCTGTCACAATGATCAATCTTTTGTAATACTTCATGTGCCTGCTGTTAAATTTAGTCCATCCTTTATAGCTATCTAGGTGTTATATATACCTGCTAAATATACATGTAATGCGTATTATAGTTCGGACTTCAATGATAATGACGACCTGCCATCACTAAATGGAGGAAGCAGTCATGACTCCATGATGAACGAAGACAAAGCTGAGAGCCACAGAGACCCATACCTATTCGCCAGCGAGGAAAGCAGTGATGGTAAGACTGTTACTTATCCCAATAGAAATACCTGGCTAGATTACACTCTTTTCCTGTTCTGTAATGAAGTTTCTAACACTACCTTTTAAGGTTCTCAAACAAATAATTACCACTTACTTGCACTTACTATTTATCTTTCATTGTGTTTCTGAATTTTAAACCTGTAGATTTGCTGGATGGATACATTTTATTTTTTTCTGTTACGAAGTAATTAAAAATTTTAGCATTTGAATTTAGAAAATGAATTGAAATATTTGGGCAATATTCTTTTCCAATCTTGTTTTTTTGCCTCAAATAAAACAATGGAGTATACATATAATTGCGGTGAAAAAATCCATTTAATTAACTTGGATTGTCAACCAGAAGGTAAGGCTCATACATTGTTTTAGTAAGGGTTTATATACTGTAAGGAAACAAAGTTTGTCCATTGATTCCTACTAAACATGAAGATCTACTACTGATAAAGATTAGGTACATTATACTGCACTGATGAGTATTGTTATCACAATTTAAACCCACAAGCCGTCTTATGCCATTAGACAGCTTTTTGTTTTTGTAAATCTGTTAAACAAATTGTCAAACAAAACACAAATTGCCTAAAAATGAAGTTTAAAAACCTAAATCTAAAACACACATGGGATCATAGTGATCAGATGTGTTCAAAATATGAAGGCAGAGGAGGATAAATTAGATTGACCCGAAAGTAATGATAAAAAATTAAAAATTAAAAAAAAAAAAAAAAACATTGAAATAAAGATTATAGTTATCATGTTTGTGATGTGTTTGATTTGAAATTCAAAGTACCAGATTGATAATTGGTATTTGATAAATACAGGACACTGTAGGCCCATTTTAATCTGACCTTCTCTTTTTATATCAAATTCATTTGCATACACACTATTGTTTTTGTTGATTTTTCTATTTCTTTTTAATTAAGTAGACTTCTTTGTTTTATAGTTGCTTGACTCTCTTTATATCTGATCTCGAAGATCATTTCAGATGTATGTGTCCTTCTTCATTTCTGAGAAATGCCATTTAAAATATGGATATAATATTTTTAAACAACTACTTACATGTATATTTATATTACATTTCTTTATCATATCAATAACTTCAATATCTGCTATGTATTAACAAATAAATAAAAAATTTGTGTTTTATATTGTTTTCCTAATTTTTGTTCTTATTCTGACATCAGTTGTAGAGATCACCTAAACCTAAATAGGAAAGTTCCTACTCCTTATCACTGTCATTTCATTTTCATATCAACAGATGTTCATGACTTAAACATTGAATTTTAGTGAAATATTGATAAAAAGCCATCACAGTTCTTCATATTTTGGTGTAATTCTAGGGTTTATATTTTAATTGATTTGCCTACTCATGAACCCCCTCCCCTCCCCCTCTTAGAAGAAAAAACTCTGCACAAGACTTTAGAAATATGTCTCTAATCCAGAGCTTGGTCTCTGCCCTGGAAAAGATTTTTCACCAGTTTTAATTTCATTATGATGAGCTGCTGAATTCAGGGTAAGCATGTTAGATATGTATAATCTGGATATTCATAAAATTTTAATAAGAATACATGTAGTTTTCTTCCCGTAACAGTTAATACTTACCGTACAATTATTACCAGGAACACACGTACAAGATGTATTACACATATAAGCAGCAACTAGGATTTGGAAACTTTATTCACTAACTCTAACATTTACAAGTGTTGCCAAAAGATGTCTTGTATGTTGGCCAATCTCTGATGAAAGATACCATATTTCTTAATGTATTATTTGTAACAGGACTGCTGTCACAGTCATCATTCACATTGTTTGAAATTGTAGTTCAACTGTGATTGAGCCAAATTTTTATATCTATGAGCTTTTGTCTACTTTCTCAAAGTCTTTATCACTGTATCTGCACCATCAATCCTTTTGACTTCATCATTCATGACTCATTTTGATAGAGATTCAAATCAACATCCACCATTGAACTTTACTTCATGTAGCAATTTTTGGTGATATTGTTTTTTTTTTCTTTTTCTTTATTGAAGGGTCTTAAACTTGCTTTATTTTATCACTGTTAGAAATCATGAACTGCTTATCTGTTTCATAAGAAATTTGAAATGTGATTAGTTCTCTTTGTCAGGAGTGTACAATGAATTGCAGTGGCCTTATCACCACAGACTTACAGAATCTATAGAAAGTAGTGAATATTTTATGTAAATAACACAAAAAAAGGATCAGACGTGTAGAATTTTACAGAATGATCCTGCACATTATGTATTCTAAATTTTGAAGTTGTACACTCCTGTTCTGTTAGACACTATATCTCTGTTTTGCCTCCGCTCAGATGAAACCAATACACGCCTTAAAGCCATCATCCACAAGATAGGAAAGATAGGCACGAGACCAACCACAGGTAGGTCCAGACTATCAACTGTGAGCTCATTGGGAGCTTAGTCAGGGCTTAGTAAAGGGCAAAAAGATATTGTGATGTATTGGCTCATATTTTTGTAATGGATTAAGTTTCAAGTTACATACAAACTAAAACTGGATGTATGTCAGCAATTAAAAACAAGCTCATTATTGATTATGACTGGAAGACAAGCACAGCAGTGAGTATGACTCATTGAAGACAAGCTTTGTTTTGTGTCAGAACTCAACTGAATGACATAATAAGGGTTTCTTTGCTCTATAGTAATTGAGTTTTTAGGTCAGATAAGAAGTTCTTTAATAAAGCTTATAGAATATTAAAATGAAAACAGAAATTATCTCAGAAGCACAGATTGACTGTAGGATATGCTTCAGTTGTCATAATTGAAAACTCACCATGTTGTGCAGGTAGAGTAGAACTCCTGTTTACTCTTAATCAAGAGTAACAACACAGGAAACGTTCTTCCCCCAAAAAATTTGGAGTGGCTACTTTAATTTGTCAGAGGAAGAAATTCATATGTAATGAACTTGTTTAGAAATGTTGTTCAAAGTTTTATAGATTGTCAATCTTCTGAAATTCTTTCAGTAAAGGAAAAAGATTAAGTCAGACTTCAAAATGTACTTCATATACAATTCTGTTCAGTTATGAGGGAAATTGTTTAGTGTTTAATTATTAGTTTGGAATAGATCATTTGTCGAGGAAGCCACTGATAGCGGTGTGTAAATGTTCAAATAAGACTTCCAATTCATTCTTTATTGTGACTGATAATTGAATAGTTAACCTTGCTTGTCAGAATTTTGGTGTAACTGATATTGATAATTCATTACTATTTCATTGTGAGTGACTAAGTAATGTAATATTGAGATGTTATATGTAGCTAGTACATATTGTACCTGTCTGCATCCAGTCCTGTACAGATTTATAACATTTTGCTTTTTCATTGGCTGCTGCAAAGTCTTCTGTTGTCTTTGATGCTTAATTGATTTCTTCACAGCAAAAATGAAGGATAATAAATATCATTTCATTTCACCTCATTTCATTTCATTTCATTTATTTTCCTTTTCTAACATTACATAGTTTTCCATTATTTAACAAGTGCTTTTTTGTTTTGCTGTTCTAACTCTTGTACTCTGTTCCTTGGGAACATTTTAAATTGCATGTTTCTACATAAATTTCATTGTCTTTTCAATTGGTGTTGTAAATGTATTTCATTATGTCAGCCTTCTATTTCAATCATTAGAACAAGGTACTAGTTGTATTGTAATTCTATCAGAATTGCCATTTTATTGAACAATATTTTTAAAATTTGGTAATAAACCTATTTAAATATTAAGAAGTTTAGCCTACTTCCCCACATTCAGTCAGACAGATTGTTTTGGCCTTATTTAGCCCACTTTGTAACATTCAGCCAGATGCACTGTTTTGGCCTTATTTAGCCCACCTCCAAACATAAAGTCGATGCATCGTTTTGGCCTTATGTAGCCCACTTGTAACATTAAGTCAGATGCATTGTTTTGGCCTTATTTAGCCTACTTTGTAACATTCAGTCAGATGCCTTGTTTTGGCCTTATTTAGCCCACTTTGTAATATTAAGTCAGATGCCTTGTTTTGGCCTTATTTAGCCCACTTTGTTACATTCAGTCAGATGCCTTGTTTTGGCCTTATTTAGCCCACTTCCTAACATTCACTCAGATGCATAGTTTTGGCCCCCTCGGCTTATTGCAGCTAGCTAATGAAGCTAGTCTTTAATGCAGTTACATCATATTTTGTGCAGCAGAGCTATATTATCAGTTACGTTAGCCGTAATGACCTTTCTCTATGTTTAATGAAGGAAATAAATTTATGGAGGAAAAATGTCTATGAAGAAAATTCATTGAAACATCACTGGACCTTTCCCTCCAAAAAGAATGTTAATGATATTCAAGATGATAGACTTAAAATAATGGCAAATCAATCCTAGTGAATGTATTTAAATTCTCTTGATCTGATATTTTGTACCATTGAAAATTAAAATGTTTTTAGAATTGGACTTTGAATTATAATTATATGATATTACCTGGTGCCTGTTTTCATTTTAAAGTTATGAAGAGTAGTTAAGTGCACTTATATAAATGTCACTGACTGTTATACATGCTTACAGCAACATTAGACTTCAGTTTTACATTTACAGAGAGACCAGCAATATTTTTGGATTCTGTTGATGAGGATGATGAAAGCATGTTGTTTGTAGATCATTTTGACACGTGCTTATCACATAAATATCACATAGATATTTGCAACAAAAAAGAAAATGACACGTTTTTGTATTTGTTTTTTTTTTTTAGATCACCTGTACAAAGGCACACTGGCCATTGTGATATTGCTTTAAATTGTTTAGGGAATTTGTTTAGTGTCAAGTAAAAAATGAATTTCAGATAAGTGTATGATGTATGTGTAAACTTTCCTGTCTGCACCAATTACCTAAGCCAGTTAGGATGTTTTTTGACATTGATCGTTGGTCCATCTCTTGAAAGGTTTCAAGTGGAATGGGCAAGATTGAATTTTCTTCAAAAAATGAAAAAAAAATTATGTAAAAAATTATCATCTATGATAATCATGAAACAAATCTTGTGTAAATTGGAAAAAAAGCATCAATAACATTTACAGGGGAAGTAATAACAGTAGGAAAATCTTCTCCAAACTTCTGCTCATACTATTTATTTTTATGTAGTGAAATAAATGTTAATGAATTGAGATGGTTTACAACCCCAAAATGATTTTTTTTCTAAGAAGATATGTATACATATACACATTACTTACATCAGTCATAGTGTTTAATTGGTTTAAAGTGACAAGGGAAGGAGGGAGGGGCTGATCTTTATACACACAAACAACTATGATTGATTACTGATTGTGGAGAAATTATTGATTATATTAACAAGCTGCATGATTAACCAGCATCATTTCTGTGTTAATGACAGGATGAATATATGTTTGTTTATTGTTACAAGGCAAATGTCCCTGCATGTCTATTAATGTATATACATGTACTTTTTAATATAGTTCTATTGCTTTTTAATTGCTGGTAAATTTATTTCTCATTTCCTATTCTCTTGCCTGCTTTTATTCACTATGTTTCCCTAATTTTACTGTTATATTGTTTTCAGGGAAAAAACGACAAAAGAAAACAATGAAAAAGAAAACTCAGCAGAGGAAGCCCTTAATTCCACCGCCACCACCCCCTAAATCTGCAGCTCGGAAAAGGAAAGGTAAACATTTTACTGCAATCATTGATAATACTGTTCATATTAACTGTTAACTCATAAAAATGATACTAATCTCAATTTAGACACTTGACACATAAAAAAGTACAATAGAAACAGAAATTCCACAATTAAGGAATATTAAAATCATTGGTTAAACATAGTCAAAAACAAATATAGTAACTTTAATAACCTTTAGCACCTCCAGCCCCTGTGGCAGCCACATCTGGGCGTGGCCGAGGTAAGAAGGCTAAGCCAACACCTGGGCGTGGCCGGAGAAGACGGGGCCACAGCAGTGAGAGCAGTGACCCAGAGGAGGAAGAGCTGGAGGATAATTTGGAGGAGGGAGTGGAGTGGTATGAAGTGGAAACATGTGATGCAGATGACTGTAAAAGACCGAGCGATAAAACAGTGGCCTGGGTAAATTATTTCTTTGAAGTTGTCTCCCTTTACATTAAAAGATTTCTGTCTATAAAATGATATCTAATGATAAAATCAGAGTTTTTCTTGATCTGTTTAAAATTTATGGTAAAATTTAAACAAAGTGTCTTGAAATATCAATTTAGTCTTTGATTCAAACCTTACTTTTTGGCCTCAAGTATCTTTGATGGAATGTTATTGAGGACCAGTATAAAGAGTCAGTAGGTATCCTTTATCAGAGAAATAAAAATTTACTGATTTTTCTTATTTATTATGCTCGATTGTTGCTGATTCTTCTGTCCATCTGTAGGTTTGTTTGCCCATTGGTCAGTTTGTCCATCCATAGCATAACACAAAACATAAGAGGTACCAACATGAAACTGCTTATGTAGACAGATCATGATAAGGAGAAGTGCAGAATACAAGAACCATAACTCTCTTTTGCATAATTTAGAAGATATCAAACCTTGGTTTATACATTGGTTGTACTAAGAGAATGTGCAGTATTCCAAATTCAGGGCCTACAACTTCTTAATTACAGAGTTATTACCCTTTGAATAAATTTTGTGTCCAATAAAGTGTTGTTTTTTAGGGAGCATTCATCAGTTTCAATGCTACTGTTATTGACATCTTTATTTATGCCAACATTTATAAACTTTTCTCTGCATGTTTTTATATTTTCATTGTTGTTTGTTAACAGGTACAATGTGACTACTGTGATAAGTGGTTCCATACGCAATGTGTGAATTGTAAGTATGAGCATGTGAATGATCCAGACATCAAATTCAACTGTGGATGCTCATAAAATGGCATTGAAAAATGAATTATTGGGAAGAACACTGAAGAAAATAAAATGAGGGAAAAATCCTTTGGATCGGTGAAAACCTGGATTTCAGCTGGAAGAATTTTACCACTCCCGTCAATCAGTGACGTTTAGATTTCATCCCTTGGTGTAGGACATCTCAGATTCTTGATGGTTGTTAAAAAAAGATGATTGGTTGTAATAATGAAGGTTTCAGTCAAAAAGTTTTGCTCTGCATGCTGAACTAGGTGAGTTTTACTGTAGAAGTTATCAATATAATACAAAAAAATGGAAGAAAACATTGTTGTCCTCAAGTTTAGACCATTTTAAGATAAGGTTTTTCAGTGTTACATGATTGTATTTATTCATCAAAAACAACAATGCACATAATTTATAGCCTCTTTTTATGTTTTTTTACTAGAGGAACAGGGTTTGAGGAAATACGTAGAAAGAAACAATAACAATTTTAACCAAAATATAGAAACAATTCTCTATCACTAAAAACTAAAACTTGTAAGAATTTTGAAGTTGTCTTTCTTTTCCAATGAATCAGATTCCGAATAAAGACATTTATGAGTGATCGGGCAAAAGGAAAGATCATTATCACTTTTTCAAATAGCATTGCTGAAGATTCTGGAATATAGACATCCTCATTATGGGTAAAGATATTGAAATCCACAACTAAAGGGAATTCTGTAAAATAAAATCAGAATTGTTTTAACGTAACTACAGCAAGAAGATATGTTCTAAATCTCTTGAGTCCTATTATCTCCCTAGTATGTATAAACAAATATCCAATGTTCGTGCTTTATGTAAATTTACAGTGATCTGTGTATGGGGTAGTATTCTGATATCAAGTGATATGATGGAAACCAATTTTTTTTTTAGATTTCCACTCAAAAATTGCAAATGCAAAAGTTGTATCTCTTCTGGAACTTAACATATACAGAGGTGTGAATTTCCAACTCTGTATACATAGGTATGAAATTTCCAACTCTGCATACAGAGGTGTGAATTTCTAACTCTCTATATAGACTCTATAGGTGTGAACTTTATATCCAACATTTCCAACTCTATATACATAGGTGTGAAATGTTCAACTCTATATACAGAGGTGTGAATTTCTAACTCTCTATATAGAGGTGTGAATTGTCCAACTCTATATATAGCGGTATGAATTTCCAACTTTATATACAGGGGTGAGACATTTCCAACTCTATATACATAGGTGTGAAATGTTCAACTTTATATACATAGGTGTGAAATGTCCAACTCTATATACAGAGGTGTGAAATTTCCAACTCTTGTGAAATGTCCAACTCTATATACAGAGGTGTGAAATTTCCAACTCTATATACAGAGGTGTGAAATGTCCAACTCTATATACAGAGGTGTGAAATTTCCAACTTTATTTACAGAGGTCAGACATTTCCAACTCTATATACAGAGGTGTGAAATTTCCAACTCTATATACATAGGTGTGAAATGTCCAACTCTATATACAGAGGTGTGAAATTTCCAACTTTATTTACATAGGTGTGAAATGTCCAACTCTATATACAGAGGTGTGAAATGTCCAACTTTATATACATAGGTGTGAAATGTCCAACTCTATATACAGGTGTGAAATTTCCAACTCTATATACATAGGTGTGAAATGTCCAACTTTATATACATAGGTGTGAAATGTCCAACTCTATATACAGAGGTGTGAAATTTCCAACTCTATATACATAGGTGTGAAATGTCCAACTCTATATACATAGGTGTGAAATGTCCAACTCTATATACAGAGGTGTGAAATGTCCAACTCTATATACAGAGGTGTGAAATTTCCAACTCTATATACAGAGGTGTGAAATGTCCAACTCTTGACGCTTGCCAACTCCACCCATGTATTAAATCATTAAAAAATCTAAATAGATAGAGAATTATATGAATCACCGGATTGATGATTTTATGATAAACTCTAAACAACACTTTAAAATAATGTGTACATGAAAAAGCAATCTGACACATTAAGGATGTTTTGGTTAAACTTCACATGTTCACCTTGTTTAGTTAGGGATTACAGGTGCTAGATACACATACATATATATGAAATGATCATTTTATAAAATAAGTATTAAGATGTTTTTACAATTATGATATTTTTTTTTTCGAAAGTGGGGAAAACACATTGACTGTTTTATTGTCACAAAGAAGAAAGTGAAACACCTGCACATTGTAACAAGCCAAGTACTAAAAAACTGTCTTCTTGTGCAATCCAGACTTAGAGGGAGTGAATGTGTCGGTCGTGTGAGCGTTAGGTGGGATAAGTATGGTACATTATGTATACACACCTCAAGAGAAAAGTAACTGCATTATATGAGGAATTACGCAAAGATAGGGGATCCGTCAGCAAGAGTGTCTAAACACCCATTTAATACACTGGTTTAAGTGAAAAGGTATGAAGTACTTTCACTTATATTCAGATTTGGAAATGATTCATTTACAAATGTTCTGTTTTAAATTACAGTTTCACAGAAATCTAAAATATAATCATGTGCACAACAAAAAAACCAAAAATCCTGATTCATGGTATAAATGTCATATTTTATAAGGTGTTAAGTGTATTACAATAAATGAATTCTCTGTGTTTTACAGTCAAAAATATATCAAGAGAGATAATGTGTGTCACAAACATGTGTCTTGTTGTTGCTGTTGTACATAGGGATACAGTAACAGATCTTAAACAAACAGAGATGCCATTAGTCAGTATATTACAAAGGCGTACTTCGATTGCCTCTCTCATGAAATAGTAGGCTATTTTTCCTGAAGAAGGTAAATTTTCATATGAATTATGTAACAAATTACATACAGATTTATCAATTCTTTATCATGTACTTTAATGGTCGGTATTTTTGATGTACTTTAATGGTCGGTATTTTTGAGGAATTCTAATTTTGTCTTTCCTTTTTTTAAGTCTGAAAACAAATCACGAAATATTCATAGCTGGCATTGAAAAACAATTACAATGAAGAAACATTTTTCATCATTTCTCTGATATAATGATTGAAAATATTTGGAAAAAAATGAATTTTTAACAATCGTAGGGAAAAACAATTTCATAGTTTGTTTAGTTCTGTTCAAATCTATATTGAGTCTTAAGCATTAACTTGCAAGTATTAGAAGGATTTCTTTATTCATGTGTTTGTGCGATGGTCACTTAGTCATGCTTTCAAAGACTTATTCCTCCTGTCAATATGCAATAATATTGTGACAATATCATTGTACATAAAAATGCATTTTTGTCAGATGACCTTATTTGTCAGATAAATAAAAAGCAGAAATGATACCCTTGTGCAACATTGACAAGTAACATGTACAAAAGCCTTAGAACAGAAATCTGAAGAGATCATAGAGCTTGCCATTCATAACTGCAAAGAAAAGGTTAAAGGGCTGATTGATAATTTATGAGCCTCATATTTAAGGTTTTGACTTTTTGTGGACATGCCACTTTTAAAGAAGTCCTTTTCTTGACTGTTCACAAAGTGCTCTGCTGTATGTGTGATGTTATCATCTGACCGGGGATGGGAAATGGACTTTTTCAAGCTTTGAATTAAATGAAAGTCTGATGGGGGTGATCAGGTGGAAATAAACAAGAGTCTGATGGAGCGAGATCAGGTGGAAATAAACAAGATTCTGATGGAGCGAGATCAGGTGAATAAGGTAGATGCTCAATTAATTCAAAGTCAGAATCCTTAATGCCAGCCATGGCAATGACAGACTTGTGAACAGGGTCATTGTCCTGGTGGAACAACACACCAAAGTTTGTTCCATCCTAGAAAACTGGGACCATAACGTTTCCAGCTGATGGAAAGGTCTTTTTGTTTTTTTGGTAGGGGTGACCCAGGGTGCTTCCATTGTTTGGCCTTATGGATTAAATGATGGACCCACATTTCATCCATAGTTACAAACCTCTGCAGAAAGTTAGCAGGACCTAAAAGGTTCAGAATAACACACAAAGTCTGCCTGGTGTGCTTCTGATCAATTGTCAGAAGTCTTGTTACCCAACGTACTGAAATCTTATGTAAGAATGGAATGTGCTCTTTCCTGTGAAATCCCAACTGTACTGGCTGTACATCTCTAACTTGCCTGTCAGCCTTACTAATATCACGGATTTTATTAATCATTTCTAGGGTTGCTACACTGACATGCCTTCCAAGATAGGCCTCATTCCCATGGCTCTGCCAGCCACATTTAAATTCTGCCACCCACCTTTTCAGTATAGAATATAAAGGGGCATCGTTTCCGAGTGTTGTTACCACATCAGTGTGGATATCCTTTGGCATTTCTTATGCAAATGTTGAATCAGTCTGCTCTTTATTTTGTAAAAGTCACTTGTCTAGTTTACTTTAGAGTGCTACCTCTTTGACATAAACTGACCAAATGACTCCTGTCTTCAAATATGTAGCCTGAAATAGTCAGGAAATAGTAGAGCTGAAAAAGAACATCCCTGCTCAACTTCTTCAATATCAAGACTCACAACTTATCAATCAGCCCACGTATGTTTGTCAGACAGTGGGACGTGAAGCAGATTATTTCTGTAATGATTTTGAAGATAGTTATGGAGCTCATTTAATTACACAGGATTTTGCCTAAGTTGAAGCATTAAGATAGAAATGACATCTTAGGTTTATCATGATAAAAAATGCACATTGTGAGTTGTTGTGAAATGTTATGGTTTCAAATTTGTTGTCTAGCACTTTTGTGTTCCATGATTGGTAACGTGTTTGTTTGTCATAACATTTGTGCCAAAAAATGTAACGCAGCATATATTTGTGAATCCAATTATTTATGACACAAGACATGAGTGTCAAAATAATTGTGATAAACACTTGTTTCACAGTGTTTTTAACATCATACTTACTTGAGTCACAAAACTGATGACGTTATACATTTGTGTATCACAATATTTGTGACGTCACAAATTTGTTCGTCACATCATTGGAATTTGTTTTGTCACAATGTTAGTAGCTTAATGCAAATAAGAGCATTTGTTTGTACA